CCACAAGTTTCACCGGTTGTATACGAGAAATTGTTATAAACAACAGGGAACTGAAGCTTACCGTGACTGACCCCAAAGGTGGAGCCAATGTTGGTGACTGTGACGGAACAGTTTGTGGGTACACAGTGTGCAAAAATAATGGAACATGTCAAGTTGAAAACTCAGGCTTTTCTTGTTCTTGCCCACAAGAGTGGATAGGGAGCACATGTGAACAATCTATTCACTGTTCACAAAACAGGTGTGGGTCTCAAGCTCTCTGTATTCCTCAACCTACTACTTTTTCATATATCTGTGCATGCGCACTAGGCTGGTCAGGTAAGTACTGTGACAGCAAAATCAAATTTTTTATAGCAAAGTTTGTCGGCAATTCCTACATCAAATACACAGATCCTTATTATGGAAAAAGAGACCTCCAGTACAGCCGCATTTCTTTAAATTTTACTACCAATCGAACTGAAGGCTTAATAGTATGGATGGGAAAAGGTGAAGATGAAGATAATGATTTCCTTGCCATTGGTCTTGCCAATGGAACGTTAAAAATTGTGATTAATCTTGGAGAAAGAATCTCCGTTCCTCTAATTCATAGCAAATACTCCACCTGTTGTGATGAAAGATGGCATTTCGTTACTGTAGTTCAAAATCAAACTTGTATTAAGGTATACCTTGATGAGGAGCTAATTCTTTTTGAAGATATTGATCCACAGCGAAAATACACTGCTTTAAACTATGGTGGCATTTGTTATTTTGGTGGTTTTGAAATTGGCAGGAAAGTCAATATAGTCACTACAGGGCTTTTTCAGAAGGAATTCATTGGTAAAATTAAAGATGTTGTGCTCTTCCAAGATTCTAAGAAGATTCAGCTAATGAAAGCAGAAGGGTATAATGTTTACAATGGAAATCAGGGAAATTAATTGAAAAACTGTTTAAGATGCTCTAAAAGTGACGAATTTCCTTTTCCTCCTGTTTCTTGTGCTAGCTGGCAGTGTAAGACTTGGGAACCAACATAAGAAAGCACTTAATAAAATGCTCCTTTTCTTTTTTTAATGTTGAGTATTAATAGCATATATAAAATGCGATCATGTTTTACTCATGAAATTACTTATACATACTCTTTAGGATTTACTTTAAAACAAAGGGAGTCTCCAGTTTTTTTCTTTATCGTGCTGGAAATAGTTTTGTAGACAAATAGGTAGTAATTAGCTTATGAAGCCAACCGTCACTCCAGTATCATTTGTTGCTTTATGAGAACAGACAACTTACCGGTTTCTCCAAAACTCTTAAATTTTATTAGAATGCAGAGTTTCTCTTTCATAATTTTGTAATATTAAGGTCAAGAGTAGAAACTGAAATGGGGCGGGGG